AAAGAAGCCAAATCAAGTCGCTCTTCTTTGACCCCATGCTCAACTGCAAAAATAAAATAAAAACACACGAAAGCACTCATTAGCAAATTTAAAGTCATCCAAGATTGTAAATCGTGGATTAAATGACTGGACATTAAAACATGTGAAAATAATCGGATTATCCTAAAATATTGAGTTTTTGTCAGGATCTAATTTTTCTTTAACCAATTCTGGCACACAAATTATAGGAAGGGCGGAGTACTAAATTTGAAAAATTGTTTGATTCACTATTCCCAATAAAATCCCCATATAAAGTTTATAATTTACACTGAAAATTCCTCCGGAGTTCCCCGCAGTTGAAGAGCGGCTCGGAGCATGGAACTTCAAAGCCAAGTGGAATGTTACCCATCCCATTGTTACGATTTAGAACTCACGCATGCGTTTGAATATATTACGAGAGTCCCCCCCCCCCCCCCCCGATTGATCCACCCTACCATTACCAAGGAGTTTTAAAAGATGGGCCATATCTAGCTCATTCCTTTGTACCATCTTTGATGCCGCCAGGAGAAAATATGTCAGGCATGTGCTTAACTGGATCTTTCTTGCAGATATTTTACGTTGTTAAGCGCTTTATAAATGTAATGCATTATTATTATTATTATGTAGACAAAATTAATAATTCCTGCATAGCTGCAAACTAACGGGCCACTTTCAAAGGGAAATATGCTTTTGTAAATTTGTAATGATAATTACTTTTCGCTACCACTCGTCTGATAATACGAGCAATACAGTGCTTACCTTTACAGGAGGCAAGCGAAAGGAAATGGAGCAACATTTCCCGAAGTATTAATCAAAATTACTCGACTGGGCATGTGTGGGCACTAATTTGACATATAACATCATATTAAAAAACTGTACATGAATTTACTTTTTATTTTCGTGAGTCGGAAGTAATCGGAAAAGTGTCAAATTGCAGGTTTTAGGACTGTAAAATGTTACTATTTTTCACAAATTCAAGCTGCTATCATACAATGTAAGCAAATTTCTTGGCACAATAAGGCTTTTGTATTCATATTTTATCATCTGCTCGATTTTCTACTTGTTAGTTCAAATAAAAAGTGAAATATTAGGGATATTTCTTTGTGAAAAAAAAAATCACCACCCAAGCTTTCCAATGACATTGGCGGCTTCGAACCTCGGACATCAAAGGTAAGAGCACACCAGTAGATTCTTTGTGCAATCATAGAAAACGGCTTGGAAAAATTTGTTGCCAGTTGAGTCTCCAGCTCTAAAAAACTCCTTGCCATTACCAAGAATGATAAATGTGGCAAACATGTTTCGGGGAAGAATCTTTCATGCCGGTCAACCCGAGCAAGTGAAAAGGTGTTCAAAATGCCTAGAAGCCGGGCCCCATTTATCACAATGTATTAACATCCTTGAATTACGAACACAGTTTAGTACTCTCTTTCCCTTGAAGAAGCAATTTTGACCGAATTAAACACAAGATGCAATATAAAAATTAAAATGGTCGAAACAATAATAAATCAATAAATCAAATCAAATCAAACAAAACTTGGTTGGAAACTAAATTCATCTGGAAAGATCATCGGCATGGATAAGAAGTGATAAAATGTATCTTTCTCTAATGCAGTCAAACCTGCCTTAGGCTTAGCGGACTATACTCTCTATTAAGGCCACCGGCCTATACAGGTAGTGGTCACTCACATTGCCTCCCTCTAGAAGGGAATGTGTGTTGAAAAACCTGTCTGGAAAGGCCACCTGTATACAGTGTCACTGTATACAGGTGGCCTGTAAACAACTCTGATAACATTCATTTTTGAAAACCCCCCCTTCTCTATCATCAAACCTCAGCGACAGCTTACTTCAAACCTATTCGGATTATGTAAAAACATCATTGTCATGGAATTGCTTTACTGAGGTTTATTGTTTGGTAATTATTATGCTTTAGTTATTCATTTAGTTGGTTGACAACATTAAAAAAGGAATTGCTTACTTTCGGATCTGACGCCCTGCGTATCGTTCTCCTCGACATTCAACGCATCAGAATTGTCGATCTCATCTTCCTCGACTAAAACACTTACTGCCGCGGCCAAGGCAATCAGAAAGTAGAGAGCGATCATGGTTTTTGATGCCATTTTCAAAGTCTGAGGAAAAGATAATCAACATGGAATACATTTGTGTTTCACCAATGACAACTTAAAAAATGTTTAACTTTCCAATGTTTTTTTACCGGATATTGCTCAAATATTATTGTACTAATTAATTTTTGTTTGTCTCACTTTTCTGATTTTATCAAAACCACCTAAATATCAAGGTGGACTTCCCCTTTACAGTCGGGTACAGTTTCACACACATGAGGTAAACAAAATAAGGACCGCACATGTATGTTGGGTTAGATTTAAAACCAACACTATAGGTAATATTAAACTAATTTTTAGTACATGCATGTTACCCAACAAACATGCAATAATAATAATAATAATAACAAGCTTTAGTATTTTGAAAGTAATAAACAATTTAGGAAGGTAGTATATAGTTAGTCAGGGTGAGTAATATGGATTAATGCCTTACCAACGGACACTAGCAACCTTTAGTGTTACGAACCCGGGACCACTCCTCCCAATTACGGGATCACTGGGCCTTCGCACCCGTCTGAGGCAAGAGACGAAGAAAATGTCTGAAGAAATGCAGACCTTCGCTCAGCAACTTAATAAACATTGAGTATTCCCATATCCAGACTCTCAACTACCGAAAAACGTTTTACAGTGACTGCTTCGAGGGATTTAACCTGTCTTGTCACTTTCAAAAGATCCATTAAAACATTCTTCCTTTCAGTATTAAAGCATGATTTACTTATTCAATAATTATTATGTTTCTCTTCACATTCTGTTACTTTGTAAGCGATAAGGTATTTTTTTTATTTTAGCGCTCCTAAATAGTCGATATCATTATCAATACAATTACGAACTGACGAAATCAGAAAGACGTCTCATGTGCAACAGGCTTAACGTATTAAAGGGCTGTTGGGCCTACCTGATTTCGATGCGGTGTTCGAGTAGGATTCTGTGAGATGATGATATACTTGCCCGTAGCTTGATGTGACGAAGTGTCTCTATCCAGCTATCTAGATAGCTTCTAGATATATAGAATATCCAAGGTCACATGAAGGATGCCATCTGCTCGCAACCGCGAGTGAGAATGCATTAATAATTCAGTTACAATAATTAATGAATAATGAATAATTCGATTACAATAAATAATTAATAAAGAATAATTTAATTACAATGAATAATTGATAATGAATAATTCAATTACAATAATTATTAAATATATTTAATCTGAATATTGCGCCAGCCAAATTAACCAGCAAAAATAAAAATCTCTTCCTATAAATTTCGCACTGATATATTAAATTCACCTCTTTTTAGATCTCACGCATCTGAATTAGACAACTTGGTTTGTCAATATGATTCTGTTCTAATTGACCCCCCCCCCCCCCTCAAAAAATGCACGCACAATAAGGTGTCGACCTAACGCGCCTTGGTTCAATGAGAAATTACATGAAATGAAACGGAGCTGTTTCTAAGTTAGAAGTTGACAGACATATTTTCAAAAAACTATGTTATGAATATAATCGCATGATCAAACAATCTAACCAAAACTATGATTCAAAACAATTTGAAGGCTGTAATTCAAAGCTGCTAATTCAAAAAGTCAACTTATTGTCCACACAAAAAGTATCCAAGGGTACAGGTGCCTCGAAAAGAGTGCATGGTACATTTTTGATTTATATCCTTCATCAAGAAATGAAAATCAAAGAAATTCAATGAAAACTATATATATAGAAATACAGTGCATCAGAAATCAAGTATCAATTCACATCTTTGTCCAAAATACACACAAACACACACTGAAAAAAAATGTATAGTAATTTTAATTTTGTTTTATTCCTCCAAATGTGTAATACAAACAAAATTTGCTTAATTGCTTATGCATAAACATTATTAAACAAAAACTAATTTGCAGTATAATATTATATTAACTTAGCAACAAAGCAAACTCATAAGTACCTAAACTTAGTTAATATGTCAATCGTAAATGTTATTTACTTTATAAAAAAATACTTTAACAAATCTGGAGGTTATCTTACCGGTACAATGCCTTCTCCTCCCTGCCCCCCCCCCGCCTCCCTCAAACAAACACCCCCCCCCCCCACACACACACACACGCACCACACACACATACATCCAGAACCCTGAATGGCTGGCCCCACGCTAGGTGTACCCTGTCCCTATGATAGGACACATATGTTCTTGGTGAGATTTGTTATCTCTAAAATGATTGTATTACAAAAAAAACATAGACACATCGGTTTTTTGGTTAATGTAATCGCGATAGCGAACTAGGAATACCAATATAGGGTTAAAGTGTGAATTATTATGGCAACCTACAATGCATTTTTGATTTTTTAGTATTCCTAGAGAGTAGAGATAATGTTTGACTACAATGTATTTGATTAAATTTGGTTATTCTCGATCGACTCTATATTATCATCAATTATCCCCCAATCCATAGAGCTCCTGTCTTTCCGTCTAAAATTGGGATATAATTGGATCACCCATCTTGGCCGCATACAACTAACCAAGAACAATTTTAGCTGTCGAAGATAATTTTACCCCTGTGGTTTTGACATCATAAAATTGACAGCTCGAAAAGCTAATTATCTATATTGCTTCTATGCACACATTGATTATTGTTGCCGTAGCCTGGGTTAGATGGTGAAAACAAAACAGAAAATGGAGACGATTTCTTGGTTATGGAAGGCACATGAAGAGCTGCGTGGAGTGGGCGTGGCGGACGTGGAACATACAGCAAATGAACTGAAATTGACTGTCTGCCTCTACTTCTAAAATGTGCGCTGAATTTGCTTGCTTTTCTGCTCACCGCCGCGCGTTCGCCCGCAACACGCGTCCGGTGCTATCGCTGAAGTGATAGCAGTCGATACGTACGGTTCATCTGCTAGCTGCTTGAGTGTTGTGAGATGATATGCCATCATCGAAGACATTACATTTTCGTGTTTTTGCAAGTTCGGGTTGGCCTGAATTTTTGTTAAGAAGGGGGAAATATCTTAATTAGTATCAACCTCGAGGAGAAATTATCTTTGGATTATTTTGTTACACATCCGACCATAGCTGGAAGAGCGCTGGGAAGAGCGCTATCTATAGCAGACGGAATCGCGGAATCTGTCCCGCTAACCTGTCCGGAGAAGCAGTCAGTCCTCCCAGCAATACCCCCCGGATCATTTCATTTAATCTGACGTCCATCTAGGAAAATAAATCATGGATAATGCAAGCAGTGATTGGTGATGCCAAAACGAATGTTGTGACTCTGGAATAACATCAACCGTTGCTGGTCTAAACAGAAGGTCATCATGTATCCCATTTGCAGGATTAAGAGAATGGTAAGTTTAACCATGTTTACAGGCAATAATAAAATGCATACATAATTATAGATGCGACAAAGAAGGAATTTATTTATCATTATCAGAAAATGCCTCGGTGACACAAACTTTCATTTAAAAAGTGTTAAGAATTGCAAATGAAACATTCGGTAATAATTATTATTGTGGTAGGGCTGTAGTATAACAAGTACATTTTCCTTGGTTTCTTGCACCACACCCCTGGTTCGGGAGGAATAAATTACATTTTAAGAGTGACTTCTTTTCGGTTTGTTGACGTTGATTTTGATGGCAATCATTTTCTAGCTTTGTCTCTTACCATTAATCAAAGCTTACCGACAAAAAACAAAAGCATTGCCCTGGACCTCTGGAAATGTATTATTAATCGTTATATCTCACTGTTGATCATTGTTGGGACTACCATGAGTAATAGCAAAAAGGGGGCGTTTCCAGCGTCAAAACTAATGGGGGCGGAATCCCTTCAAGGGGGACTGGCGTATCTGGACAGCCCCTCATGGCGTTGACTCTTCTCATTTAGTTTTGGTTTCATTTTCTGGGTCTTCAAGAAGAGGGCGGGGTATACCCCCAGCTCAATCCTATCCTGGAAACGCCACTAGCCTACATGTTTTTCTTTTCTTTCAATTTCGACTTGGACGATTAAACACAGCAGGCATGATCATTCCATGTGCAAAACAAGTTTAGCATGCGTAGCTACCTGGGATAGGTAATAAGAATGGATAATACAATAGCTTGAGTGGGTGGATGTAAAACTCGATCAAGGTCGGAAATTGGTGGTTTTACCGACAAGAAATCATGAAATGGAACAACGAGTTCACACTACATTAACGCTCCTGTCTGAAGCCGATAATGGATGTTTGAAACACGAATGAAAATGTAGTTGTATAGTAATTTTTTATATTTTTTAAAGTCACTAGCACGAATATACATGTAAAGGACGGTGTAATCTAAAGCACATTTGTACTGCTGTTCGAATTGAAATCGAATCATGACCGTATAAAAATGATTTCTAGAATTATTCTGATGAGCAATTCGTCAAAATAATGTATGTTATTCACCCATTTTCATTAATAAGTTGGTTTGACTATATTTTTATTTGTCATTTCTTTTGGCACAATCTCACTTTCAACAAAGCTCCTCTTTGTGCATAGTTATTGAGCTCTTTTAATAAACTCTATCTACAAGACGATGGGTTTATAATACGAAAAATGACTTTTACTAAACCATGACTTATCCTGATCCTCACCTTGTCCTCGATCATACAAAGTTTACTACAAAGAAAGGAATATCTTTTGCCATATCCTTGATGTAAATAGGCAAAAACACCCTCTGCATACGTTTCCGTAATCTCTTGAAAGTGGAATTTTGTATCAATATCATATCATAGCCACAAGCAAAACGTATATAACTGTATTCAACCGAGGATCGAGCTTAGAGCTCCGTGATTCAACATCCAATCCTTCTGATCCTCAAAGCATTCTAAAGTTTAATCTATCTGACAGCTTAATAACACGTTCTAGACTAGACTGCACGTTTTGTTCAGAACGATGCCGGAGGGCTAGGAAACAGAAAAATAATATAGAAAAAATATGATGGAACGTGTAACAAGATCACGAACTGTACGTGTATGTATGTGTCACCCGTACAAAATCCCACGTTGCGCTTGGCAGTGATCATTAATGATAATGATAAATTGTATACTATTATAGAAAAGAATGTCATGTTATCAAATGAATATAGGGAGGGGGATAGCGGGTTGTATTTGGGAGAAGGAAGAGGAGCGACGAGGGGGAAGAGGCCGGAAGAAGAAAATGAAAGTGAGATGGGAGAAAGAGGTTACAAATGGGGAGAGAAGGTGTATGGATTTAGAGGAGGAGAAGAGGGATGATAACGAAGAAGAAGAAGAGAAAAGGAATGAGGAAAAGCAGGTTGAAAGATGAGGCAGCTCAGCCGAGTAATCCATGAGGGATATGTGTTTAGACAAACTGCGCCACATCAGATACTATTTCCCATCTCAATCCCAGTCGACATGTTATTCGAGATATTAATATCTCCCAGATGTTTTGGTCAGTCACGGTCATAATAGAAACGTTGGATAAAGTCCAAAGAACAATATACCACCCGACTGAGATGCGATCCCGCTTAGAAACGGGTATTCAATCTAATAATTGTGCGCTGCCCTAGTTTAACAGGGTCTCGATACCAGATTGAAAATCCAGGTTTATTTACGATTGCCTCGTTTGGTACCTTGGATTAAGGGCTTGTAACGGCTTCATATAACAGTGGGATCTTCATCTAAAAATACCAAAAATATCATGAACAAGAATTGAAAAAAGAAAACATCTTAATGATGCATAATTCATAACATAGTCGAGTGCTTAGGGCAAGAAAAAAAAGACCCATAACTATAATTCGAAAGGATGAAGAGAGGAGAGGGGTGAAGATGACATAACCTGGTTATTGCAAATGCGGTAGGCCTACGCCCAACCCCCTACCGAATTTACGCCTCGCCACTGAATATACCAATATTATCACTAATCCTGCAAGATGTAAACACCATCGTAAAGCTTTACTTGATAGTTGTTCTATATCAGGTAGCTCACGTCTTTCCAATTACCCCTAGAGCTGGGTGCAGGTCAAGTGTATACCGTCTAACGTTTCAGAAACAATTCTCTTCCTGTCTGCGCATGACCCCTACTAAGTGTAACTCGAAATATCTTGACATGTTTAGTGATTATGTGATGGAGCAAGTGTTAGGAGAGGGTAGAGTTATTGTACCGCCATCAGAGCCCTCATGAGACCAGGAAGGGAGATGAAGTGGGGGGGGGGGGGGGGTTGGGGGGGGGTTGGGGGGGGCTGGGGGGAGGGCGAGGGGTGTTACAAAATAACACTCCGTTTTCTCCTTGTTTGAACTCTTGCAACATTTTAGAACATCGAGTGGGTACTGAAGTAATTTATCGAAGTCCCTCTTAAAAGTTTAGAAGAGATCTTCAAATTATTTAAAGTCGATTTCCCCGTCATCTTAGTTTATACCTTAAACGCAATTTCAAACGTCATAACTTTCAATTTTGTACTATGTTTAGTTAAAAGCTACCATCAAGAACATAGAAATGCTTGTATTCAGTACTGTTGTAAAGAACATCAAGCTACATAATTAAACATCAGACCATTATTTCCCCGTAGATTGGGTCAATCATTCCTTACACGGTCATTCTCTTTTATAAATAAATGACAAATCCTTTGCACTTTCCATCCTTTTACATTTTATGAGCAATTCCATCGTTGGCATGTTTTGAAATATTGATATTAGACAGGATTTGGTTTCGTCAAGGGAGAAGTACGTGATGTGTTAAAGATGAAAACTCCCTAGAAACTAGATCAACATTCCTTAGTGATAGAACAAACAACACCACCTCTGTGGAGAGCTGCTCTTAGTAGTGTCTTACAAATTGATGACCTAAAACGGGAATGACAGATAAAACAATAAAACAATGATTAAATGATGATGCGCCATCTCTTTTAGGTTTCCACTTTCCTTTTAAATGTAATCGTTCGTCTTCCTAGCTTATTCTTTGTAAGAACATTTCTCCCTCTACACGCTTGTAAATAGCTGAATGAGGTGGCAGATGCCCAATGCCCCCCCCCCTTCGGTGCTGTTAGAGCCCCTTCCAGTCTTTACTGAAATAACATTGGCTCTGAAAATTATGTATTTCTAAGATTATATTACTACAACAAAAATCAATCGAAATAAATTTCAGGAAAATAACTCATTTTCTCCCGAGATTAAATAAATCGTGTTTCCTCTACGTTTCCAATTAAGACACCTGGAGGGGCGCTTTGACACTATACATGTATTCTGAAAATAAGCACGAAGAGGAAACTGTTCTTCGAGTAGAGAAAGCACGAAGTTGGGGGCGAGCGTGCAGAAATAGCTTCAATCCGGTTGCCCATTCTGTTTAAAAGGGATAGTTGCAGAGGGCGCTAGAGAGATAATGAAAAACTGAGTGTCAAATTTGAAAGTACATACAGTTCAAATGACAAAATTCTCTTTGTTTGATCAAAAATCGGTTCAGAGACGGCTGAAATATCCATAAATATAAGGATTTGTAACATTTGTGGAGCCCCATGCACATGACTTTGTATTCGATAATTTAAACCAGCCGTTGAAATGTAGCGCCTTATACGTTTTTATTGCAGCCAATGCCGATGTTGGCTTTTTGTTGGCTTTTTCGTGTTGGTTATAATACGCGCGACCAGCCGGTCCGTGTATTGTTGTTATTAATTGATTAATTAATTAACGGTCACCGCATGTATATATGCACACCTCTTTCTGTCTGTTTGCTTCACCAATCTGTTCTTATCACTACACCATTAAAGATATCCGGTAACTTTGTCTTAGATCCTTTAAACAAATCCTTGATGTAGCTCATGCTGTAATGATAATTATAAACCTTTAGGTCAGTCAGGAACCCCATGACTTTTACAAGCCGATCGCCTGTCTGATTATCAAGACATTTATGATTGAAAATCGAAATCAAATTTTGCGTTTGCCAAACAGTCTATTGGGGAAAACGAGTATGGTAAAACCAGTCACTCAAAGGTTTTTACCTTTTTGAGGCACTTCTTAATCATTTTGAAGCGCAATTTTTTTTAGGGCTTCAATATAACACCATATCACAGACACTGATAACACGTACGGCTGTGCATCTCAGATTTAACATTGTTAAACGGTCCCAGAGCTGAATTTGGAATGATCATATTGGCTAATATTTCACATATTTTGGGGGTCTAAAATTACCTCCATAGCAATTGAAGGTCATAAAAGGTCACTAGAAATGTCATAAATAAGAATAAGAGCAATAACCATGCACTTTGAAGGCATTTGCGGTCTGAAACGAGAATTCAACTATCCCTTTAAAGTCGTGCCTTTATTGAGGGTAGAACAAATTCTCTACACATTATGGAACTGCGCTTGATGATAATCATTATATTTTTCTGTACGAAACGGTATTTGCTTTATTTGGATCAATATTCACGTGTCCATGAAAAATAAACTGTCTAGTCCTCAGAAACGGTGACAAACAAAATGAAATCGCCCAATTTTAGAACTATTATGTTAATCATATTCCTTCACTTTAAGTCATAAACGAAAACATAATATATCAGTGCCCTTCATGATCATCTTCTCATATTTTCAGCTTAAAGTCAACGTTTTCAGTCCATTAAGATTTGATTTATGTCGTCCTCGACGTTCCTCGAAGTACTTTACTGAAGCTGTTGCCATAGTTCCATGCGGCTGAATATAGACACGACTATTTACCCACCTGACCTTCCCCGTGGCTTTCAAACTCTGACAGAAGAAAGAGCGCGATTGTAGTTCCATATCGGAATATTAAAATGATGGAATGCCAGGAAAATGATCGGTACTGAAGCCCTAGGCTAGAGCCTAGGTCAAACATCAGATGTTATGGGATTTTAAGATTTGCACTTCTAAAACGAAAGGCAAGGGGGTAATTGATTCTTTTAAGTACAATATTTAGAATTGATTTCCGACCATCGGTTTCTAGAAGGCTAAAATCAACTTTACTGTTAATATTATCAAAAGTAGAGTCATTTAATCCTGTTTTGTTCTGTAGTTTGTTTGGTGAGTCACTTATATTAATATTTAGTATATTGACATGACTTTTTTTTGTAGTAATGTTCAATAAAACTACATACCAAAGATGCTTCTGGTTTCATCTGAGAAAAATATTGGCCTGTAGGCTGTACAAGGCCGCAGTCCTCTCCTTATGATTCTCATTTTGTTGATGGGTTGGGTGGTGTGATAATTGAATATTTTGTTCTCTTTTCGGTGTACTAAGCAACGCTAATGGACAGTTTACTAATGGCCTGTAGTCCCGAGCACTGTAGTATCTGTTACCTAGTTTCGTTAACAGAATTTACACGATTATATTTCCCGTGCACTTAAGGAAAAAGTATGCTTCAGGCCAGGACGTGACAGCAAATAAATACGCTAGTAAACCAAGGAAGTAATTTGAAGGAACACACCGGCGACAGTGTTTAGGAGGGGTTGTATACTGTACGACACATGTACCGGTCACAATAATGTTCCGTGGTCAATATCTACTTCAGTCTGTGACCAATCCCTATTCCTTCCTCTAAAACTAACCCTAACCCTAGCCTGAAACCCTAATGGCAACCCTAACCTTATTAACCGTATCACTACGTCATGTTTGTCGAAATAAAGCTCGCAACGAATGTCACCGAAGCAGATGAGGTGATCGATGCTTATTATCTGTGCATGGCTGTGTATCAGATACTTGTTGTGTTTTTTTTTGGTGGGGGAGGGTGCAATAACTTTATTTAAAAACAAAAAGAAGTGGACGATTTATCAGCAAATATTTAGTAGCAGGATATTCCGCATTGTCCGTAAGAGGGATATCATTTCTTCCTCTGACCTCCCTATCCAAGGGAAAGGCTCTGACTGCTGACAGAGTCTCAAGGTCTGGAGGATGGACGGATGGACATCTAATCTGAGATATAAGAAAATAGATTTTTGATCGGATGGTCGAGATCAGAATCTCAAAATCTATTATCTAGAGTGTTTTAAGAGTCACAATTTACTCCAAGGTCGGTGTATATCGTCCTATAAAGCTAAAAAAAAAATATTTTGTCATCGATATGGGTTTAATGGATTTTATTCAGCGCATTGTATCCTCTGGAAAAGGCGCTGAATAAATCAAATTGTTATTATCATTTTTATTATTATTGTTATCATTATTGTTATTACAGTATGTGCTATAATACAGACACAGTGAGTGACAGTATTTGTCAAGGATAAATAAGATAACGATCGTTTATATCGGCTTGTCCTGATTAATTATCAGTCATGGTATATCATGAATATTATAATTTGGATCTATCCTCGGGGCAAGATTTCTAGCGTGTAGGGAATGTTTAACATTTCTCTGCCTCTCCCCCTCCCCCCCCCCCACACCCCTTCCCTCTCTCTGTCCTTGTAGTTTTGTGGATAAGCACAGGTTTTGACAGTATAAATGAAATTTAGATCAAATTAGATCTTATATGGGGCTCGTGTCCTGCTGTGGTTAACTCTTCGACCTCAATAGACGAGATCGTACAAAGGTCTCCGAACCTGATGATGATGATAACGAATGTTTAACATTTCTCTCTCCCTCTCTCTCTCTCTCTCTCTCTCCCTCTCTCTCTTTCTCTCTCTCTCTCTCTCTCTCTCTCCATACAGTTTCGTGGATGAACACATTGTTTCAGATTAGATCTAATCGGGATAGCGTTTCTGATGTGGTTGATATTTACTTGGTATTTACAGCAATGATAACAACGGGCAATCAATGCTGCTTACTTATGAAATCATGTCACAATTACACCCCTGACTATAATGCTAATTTCAACAAACTGATGATGTATGCAGAGGATATAGATTTTTTTTCCCCCCACAGATAGTATATTAAATCCTACAGCATCAGGAATTTATCATAGTACATTCATTTACTAAATTGAAATCTTTTTGTCGAGGACTCTTCGACCTCATCAGACGAGATGGTACAACGATCCCCGAACCTGACGACAATGGTGTTAATAATAACGAAGGTTTAACGTTTCTCTCTCCCTCTCTCTCTCTCTCTCTCTCTCTCTTTCTCTCTCTCTCTCTCTCTCTCTCCGTACAGTTTCGTGGTTGGACACGGTTTTTCAGATTAGGTCTTATCGGGATCGTCTTCCTGCTCTGGTTAACTCTTCGACCTCATCAGACGAGATCATACAAAGGTCTCGATGTCTGGCTCGACCAACAACAAGCCAAGAAAATTTTAGGTAGGTTATTTTAAAAGTGAAATGGGAAGCAATGAAATACTGCATATTAGAGGCAATGCAGATGAAACTGGTAATTTGCTGGAAATCCTATGCAATCTTAGCAATTGGCGGACCTTAAATGTGCCCCATGCAGGCAGTGACTGTAGATCCTCCAGAAAAGGCAAAATGGATGGCAAGGCGACCCGCACCGGGTCGTAACTATCGTAACTGTATTGTAACTGTTATCATTTCATTGTGTGAATTAAGCTATAGATGTTTTAGGACTTTGATTAAACAATATGAATGTCAAATTTCAGTTATAATGACTCAAAACCAATTTTAAAAAAATAACTTTCGGCCAAAACAGTCGATAACAATCAGCCTTTATGCATACCTGTCATAAATGCGATTGAATTTTATACCGTAGATAGAAGACAAAACTATGAAAAAAGTGAACATAAGAAATTACTTATAATCAAACTTATAATCATATATTATAATCAAATTATAGGAATAAATAAATGAAGATTGATTCTCCGGCCGCAATGAGCATGAGCAAGGTTGTCGAGATAGATGTAAATCATTAAATTGCTACTTTAAATCCAAAAATATAAAAATGACAAAAGCAAACAAGGAATGAAAGGGATCAATGTCAAAACAGAAGTTCAAGTTCAGAACATGGAAGACAAATTAAGATGTAGCAGGCACAGGAAGAATGTCACGCTCTCATTCATGTCAGGTACAAGGCCTAGTAACTCAGTCGATTGGTCTATCTCCTAGACAACCAAATAAACAAGACATCGAAACACAAATCAAATCAAAGATGCATCGACTTTCATTTCTGCTTCATACTGCATCACAGTCGTTGTATAAACAGGGTGATAGATCGTTTAGGTGCTGCACAAATTCAACAATAAACAGAGAACATTGCTAACCAATAAATTGTGATTTAAGATACTTTGCGATGACAAGTACTTAAAGCGGTAGATCAGAAATGAAATTTAGATTCGTCTCTGGTCTAAATGTCATTTTAAAGTAGCTTTTTAATATTCTTTTATTGTTGGGTCGTTTTGACAAGGAAAATGTAAACCAAGTCATGAAAATTATCTGGAACCGCTAGGAGACAAGATGGCCGTCCTAACAAAATTGTCCACTTCTTTATTTTGCTCTTCTGCTATATCCATTTCCTTAACATTCGTTTGTCATATGAGTTATCTTTTATTTCAGATTTTCAACATTCAGTGTAATATTTTGTTTAGACTACAATCATCAGAAATGAGAAGAGCTTTATTGAAATAAGACGTACTCGATAAAATATGCTTATTTATCTAACATGTTTAAAAAAATTATAAAAAAACATAAACTGAAATATTACAAGGATGTTTTGAAACATTTGAAACTGATGTTAGATTACGATTCTTTCTTTTTATCTTTCTCTTTACTTTAATTCTTCTTTTCAGGCGTGAATGTTCCTCACTATTTCATACAAAACGACAATCCTTCAGCGCCTTCAGCTAACGCACAGACAAGGCATCTTTCTACGAGATCTCGTCTGCAATTATCTCGCACATCACGTTATTTAAACATTTCATTTTCGGCTCCTGCAGGTGTAAGTAAAATTATTGATATATATCTTGAACAAAATCGAAAGCTATTTCTAACCATAGCATCCAAATGATATCTGATAAACGGCAATATTCACAGATAAGTGATTGTTTCGAGGGACAGATGGTATCGATAATTTACATGTGGGGGAAGTATTGGTTTATGGAACCACATTGCCCATAATAGGCCTTTGGCTATAGTATACTATGGGACATGAAGTCTTTGATCTTTGATTCTTGACATTCATTAAACATGGGTCAAACCATTTGAAGTCCTATTGTCCAGAAAGACGTAAGTAAAGTGGGGATTAAATGCTGTATTCAAAGTCAAACTCATAGCACTTGGGTTTGAACCCTCGACCTAGTTGCTATAAACCACTGTTGTAACCACGAAGCCATTACTCTTCTTGATTGATATTGGTCCAAGGCTTACATCCTGAATAGAGGCTTTACATCATCGTCTTGAAGTGGCATTTGTTTGTGTCTCGAGGTGTTTGGTCTGCCTTGACATTCAGGGGGTTCACAAGGTCAGGGAAAAGTCTGGAGAAAGAAAAAAACTCGGAAGTAAATCAGATGGATGAAAGAAAAACAGTGAAAGGGTTGTAATTTCATCCATTCTACCCAGATTCTGAGCTTCATAAAATAACCCGAGGCTGTGGTATCTCGTACAGTGAGAGCTGTGGAAGCCGATGATGCAAGTTTTCAACAACGCTTAAGTGGAGAACTGTTGAAATCTAGTCGAGTTTAAAGTCCCACTGTACTGCTTATCAAAGAGATTCGATCATACACATGCGCCCTCTATATAGCAAGCAATGCCTTATCGGTACCTGTTGGTCCCCATGATCCCCCTTTTTTAAATGTTAATTGAGAGCTGATTTGATGAGATAACCACATGTCAGTGAACTTGCAGGGAGGTCTAATCCCCCTGGCCAAACTAGTACAGACTGGATTTAAAGAGCAGTAATGTTGTGCCGTTTTTATTAAATAGTGAGACTAGAATTAAAGTTGCAACAAATAGTTGAATTTAGTCGAGTTTAAAGAGCAATAATGTCGTGCCATTTTTATTAAAATAGTGAGACTATAATCATATTTGCAACAAAATAGTTCAAAATCTATTACATAGATAAAATCTGCTACCTGATTTGTTCATCATGGCTTGTAGTGTTTCATTCATAATATTGAGAATATATTACATTATTAGTTTTTAATATGTCACATAACCTCACCTACAAGATCAGAGCCAATGTCGCTTCTATTACTCAGCATGGCAGGGTTTAGATCTATACTCTGTCATCTACGGGTCACATCTTCCGTAGATCAACCAAAATCGCCATTTTTCCCAAGTTGATCGGATCAGCCACAATTATCAGATATTTGACTGATGATTGGAGTATATTTCAGCATTTTCTTCCTCCACAATAGCCTTCAACCAATGTCTCAATTTTCTCGATGTCTTTTCCTTCCAATTGTAAAATCACTCAAGTCAAATAAAAGCTGTGAAATAGTGAGGGAAAAAAGTGAAATAGCTGATGCTTCAAATGGTATGATCCCTATAATAATTAAACGTATCACAATAAGATAAGGTACGTGGATAAGACGCATTGAACACCTTCTTTTATTCAAAATTCAGTTATATCTCAAGTTTCTTAAACCATCTGTCTTCATTATAACAAGCTATATCATCGTATTGGCAAATAAGAAAGGTTAAGGACTGATGATATACCTTACGAAAAATTATTATAATCTACAGTGACACACAAAAACCAAACTTATAACAGAAAAGCAGCAAAACGTGATCACATAGGAATTACCGTTACTGAAATCAAATGACTCTCCACAAACTGAACTGCTTGACATGGATGTGTGGTCGATGGGCCATTAATATGCTGTCATCGGAAGGACCTACCATCGCTCATCAAGTTCACACAGCTCCGTCTGATGATCGAAATGTCACAGCCTCTTCCTCATATCATTTAAGTCGCTCGCACTTGTTCTCACCCTGCTTCTGAGGCAAACCAACCTGCTCGTGTCCCCCTTAAGCCACCCTTCCCGATTATAGACCACCCTTTTCCATTATTATGATTTATATAGATAGCGTACCATAGCGGTATCAACCAGAATGGACTCAAGTTGAATGAAGAGAAAACAGAAAAATTCCATTTTGATAGTCGTTTTCGTTCTCACATTCTTCTCGCACCAATGTATCCTGATGAAAGTGTTATTAATCCAGATTAATTTGCTCGGAATCAAGGAATGTATTATTAGTAGTATATTTCATTGTTATATTTTTGTAAATCATTTTCAACTTGGGGAAGTTGGCAAGCTGCCTTAGTATGAGAAAATTATATTTCTCAACCGAACACTGGTGAAGCGCTATCTTGAAGCTCCCGAAGTTGACGTTCTCGTTGCTTCCTCATTACAAGTCATCTTCCGTCTCGATTAACATGATTAATGTTCATTATGACCTTATCCTATTTCCTGTTCCACTTATTGCCATGAATATATTCCCACCCGTCTACGGTCATGACGATATCTCTTTCTACCATTATAGGAAAGGTTTCTTGATTCAAACCTCCTTTTCCCACCTGGTGAAAGCCAGAAGCTCCCATCTATCATCAGGTTCAAGATCCATCAGGTAGTGAGCAGGGTCTACCCACAGACCACCCCCTTCATTAGGAGTGTGAAACCCCGTGACCTGATGCTTAATTCTCCGTCAAATCCTCTGTCAAGGATAAATTTGAAGAAGACAGGTAGAGGTGTGAACGAAATATGACGAAAAATATGCCTTCGACGGCTTGCTCTCTCGGATAGGCTCAGTTCAACACCATGCTAGCAAACTGTGTCAGGTTTTGTGAACCATATTGAACGTGTCTGTTCAAACAGTATTCAGAAATATAGATGGATTATGATGATGGAAAAAGAAGCAAGGCCCGCTTCTTAAAAGGCGTCATTGTGCTGACGTAGGACTGCGTTAGTGATTAACGTGGTCTTTAACGCGCCATACGAGAGTCGCGTCGTACACAAAGTGAATGGACAGTGCAAGTATTGCGTCACCGGCTTAATAGGCGCAAGTAATTACGCAAACGAAATAACGCTTCGTGTGCATCGTGCGTCAGTACGGATAAGTTTCCGATGCGCCAATACAAAAGCAGGGTCTGATTTTAAATGTTTAACTATATCAGGCACTTACCACGAAATCAATAACCTCGAGTATGGCGATGTAATGCATCTTACAATTTTCCGAGTTCTTTTTAACTTGCGACTTGATGAACAGAAATGGGAAACTTGCCATAAACATGAATGTAGTCTAAGAACATGCAGTCAACACTTGGAATAATTAGCCCTGACCTACTTTCTTAACAATTCTCGGGTCGACGTCCGGAGAATGAGGTCATTCTACTCTAGCTGGTCATACTTTTTTTTCAGAAGATCCGGGCGCCATATTCTGCTGAAGTGCTATAATCAGAGTAAAGAGAAACTAAAAGACATTAGACATCTTGAAGTGACGCAATCCATGTAACTTATAGTCCTCTTGTATTGTATCATCAAAATAATAAACGTGAAACATTGAATCCATGGACTAGATGAATAAGAGGGGCGTTATGAATTTCGATTTGAAAGGTTTTGTTTTCATATTGTTTTGTTATGTAATTAAGTCAAAACAATCAGTTTGCAAGAATTTTAGGTCATCCTACACAATGTCATATTGGGTCAAAGCCAGCCTTTCTCGCCCGCAGCAGACAACAGTATAAGTCCTCAACACGAAGACATTTATTGTTTCTTATTATTGCAAATCATTACAACCTAATTCTGAATAAACAGTACAAAATAGTAATATTTAATAAGGAAGTATTAATTGTTGATAATTAGTTTCAGTGATCAGGTAGATTTTTGAAAATGTAAAAATAAAGTCTGACTTTTGGAACGTTCATGGCTTCATGCAGGCCTTGAATGTCATATTCGGTTCTGGAGCATAACGAGAAACGAACAAGAGCCATCCTACATTGGGCCCTTGCAACAGCTGATGAAAGGTCACCATATCATATGATTCATATAATGAAACCACATGAGCAACATTTATGATATCATTATCACAGCATGACAGTCATACCATGCTTGTATACGCGTTTGTTCCTGCTTTTTACAAAACAAAATAAAGAATGGGGTTAATTTCATTTCAATGTGCGGTTCACTTTTTTTATATTGAAAATGTTCATTAATTTGAATGCTACTATTTTCTTGCTAACAGATGATTTAATCACACCATGAAGATCACCGACAAATCATCGTTTATCTTGGTATGAAATAGGTCGGTTATCAGCTTACAATAACTTATTAATGACATGAGCAATTTCTTTCAAACTATCTAAAAGTTGGGTGAAAACAAAAGGAAATTCATATTTTCTGGTAACGAGGCAATTTATGACATATGACTCCACAGGGAGCCGCAAAATTGCAATCATTTGAGCTAAGGTCAGATGAAAAGGTTAAATGCATTACTGAGACAATCCTTGATGTATTGTCTAAAGATTCGTCGGATATAAAAACATACCACCTTGACTATGATATCCATTATATTTTAGTCCGTCTGGAGCAGTAAGGAGGGCGGGGAGGGGGTTGTCAGTTAGTCCCACTTTTTATGTCATGTCTCCTGTGCCCATGATTTCAATTCGGGAAGTCTAGAAACATATGGTATCTATATGAATATTACTACATGTATAATATTTTTTCTGTTTTCGAATGGTAACCATGCTGTATTCAAAGGCCAAATTTCTAATTTCTGACGGAGACATACGTCAGCTAATGACGCCTAGTGTACGTCCGTTTCATTCTAATTGCGTTAACTATCTACACTCATCAAGCCTTTGGGTATGATTGGCGTAGGCATAAATACCTAAACGCAGTGTTTGCATCTCTCATATTTCAAACAATTGTGTACGATACGAACTCACATGGCGCGTCAGATGCTGACGCAGCCTTGCGTCAGTAAAATGATTGACGCCTCGTGCACGACCAGCATTAGGAACATGTTGCAATCGCCTGACTAGTACATGCCTTTAATTCTACTGCCTTTTAAATGTTAACTGCAAACATCGAACCGAATCACATCATGTGCCTTCTCTCCCGTAGGTCCACGGTCACATACCTTTTCGCATTGCCGACAATAAATCTAATTTCACCGGGATAATTCTACCTCGAGTTACAGGAGTAAATCAATTTGCACGAACATTACAAACACGTTCAATCTTTGGTGTAAGCTCAATTACTTCGAATCAGAACCAGGGCAATGCACCATCTTGAATGTGAATCAAGAAATCCATTTAATTTCCTTCTTGTGTTCCCTCTTGGGTGACTCATTACTCTACCATTCTTTAAAACATGTAGAAGCAGTTGGAATTCTATAATCAAACCCAGTTTACTTGAAATGTTCCTGTATTGATTGGGTTATTGGGATGGGATGTATAAATAGCCAATTTGGCCAAGTGGGTTTTTATTCCTCTCCCGACCCTTAAACTTTCCAGTTATACTAGTAAAGCTTGTCTGCATCATTCGTTTGGGTTTAGCGTAGCGTGTGTCGCGAGATTAAGGGGGCACCGCCATAAGGGGCGGGGACACCAGAGACCGTTCTTATAGTCAGTGAATGAAATCAGTAGGGTCCATGATGAAATGGTCTCGATGAGGGGAAGGATGTCGGTGGAGTCGTTCAGTCTTCTTTTTATGTTTACTTTTCCTTCTCCCTATTCCCTCTCCGTTTTTCGTTTTCCATTTTTTCCGTCGTTTGGTTCAGGTGCTCGTGTCCCAATATTTCCTGGAGCAACGCGCTTTTTTTAAATTCCCTTTCTTTACACGATATTACCACATATTAGGCATTTAATTTTGCTTTATTGTATGGCGACCAAAATGCAACTTCACGCACAAACCATTGCAATCTCTGACTTGACCGGGCACGGCTAGGGTACTGCACAGTTTATTCATCATCAAATTGATGGTTGTTTTTCTTTTTACATTAATTTTTTGGATCACGAAACATTGTAACTCATCACTGTTTACGTACAGTAACGATGAGGAATTATAGTTATGAATAACAGTAAAAACATGTTATTCATATCATCACGGAATGTACTTTATCAAACACTATGATTTACAATATTGACATTCACATTGTATGACAAGGGTCTACAACATTCGTTTTTTTACTTGCCAATTTCCCCCCGACAAATACACCCACAAACTCGACAATCAAATCTGCTCTAATTGTTTAACCTAAACGTAGAATCGTTGAGGAATGCTTACTATAATGTTGGCGTTGCATGTCGTGCTAACATGGACACACATCTCTTGATGTGACTGATTAGTGAGAGGTTGGAGTGACACAGTAATATTTATGAAGCAAATGTTTGTCCTTTAACCCACTCTCAGTCGAGGGGGTGAATGATGAGAGTAAGGACATATCCCCTTGTTGACTCTCTTGAACAAGCTTTGCATGAATAAATTGGTCTTTAGTCATGATTGTACTTATGTGCAGAGCAGGCGCGGATCCAGGTTTTTTAGGGGAGGGGGGCCCAACTTGTTTTCTTTTTTTTTTCGCTCCCGAAAATTCGCTCAGTAGGGGGAGGGGGGGGGGGTAGTGAGCACATTTTTTTGGGGGGGGGTCCTCCAAAATTTAAAAATTTGCACCCCCACCCTTGAGCGCCAGTGGGGGCCCATCCCCCCCCCCCCAAAAGGTAAAAAATCACGTGTTTTGACACTTTTTTTTCCAGGGGGGCCGGCCTCCTCCCCCTGGATCCGCCACTGGTGCAGAGAGAGAGGGGGGGGGTAAGGGATGGTGGTCTTTTTCTTCTTTCTGAATTAATCTAATGTTGTCATTATATTGAATAAAATTGATAAGTATGTTTGCTAATGGTAACAAAGTATTATAAAATAATCAATCAGGACCGATATTCATAGCACGTATAGGCCCTAAGTGTTGTCTTTTGTGTTGTTTTTCAAGTCTGTATTGTGAAACACTCTTTTACCATTATGAGTGAAGACTTAATCATCGTGAACCTGGGTTCTCTCTTTCTTGGTGAAAGCTCTCAGATGGAAAGTCTTCTTGATAAAAGACGAACAGTGATTGGGTCCTTACCTTCCCTAAGTCTTGTTTGTTAATGTTTCAATGTCAATTTATAATTGCTTCTTTGGAAAGGGGAATCATTTCTTACTGCACACATCTGTAATTTACTTTTTGTTTCAATAATCATTAGTCCATGAAAAATTATCTAAATTAATCTTTCGAAACATCGTCTGTCCGCATTGGATTAGAATTGTAAATGTTTTGACAAGAAAATGGGACGCCTGGTAACGCAGGCGGCGTTATGATCACAGCCTGCGTGTGAACTTGACGCATGGAAACATCTCATTTCCCGCCAAACCGCGTCGTCTGCTGACTGTTTCCTCTCTTACGTATCGAAGATGTCGTCTGACTGGTGAAAGTGTGGGGGTCATGCCATTACAGTCCAAAACGTCTTGAGGATTAGATATAAAACAAATACAGATTTAGTTTAAAGGTACTATGTCCCATTTGCAGGCCAAAAAAATGAAAAGGTTAAATTCCAACGGCATTTGAAAGACAATACTAATTAAGAACTTCCCTAAAAAAGAGGGGGCTTGAAAATGTCTTTAAGTGGGAAAATAACGACTATTAGTTGTCGAATCGACTTAGGAGCTATAGAGCCAGTAAGTAATAGTCTGATTTTCAGACCATTGTACCGAATAATCGTACGTTTTATGATGCACAAAGATTCAATCAGTTTAATTTGGGCCATTACAAGAAGTGGGTTATTGATGTAGACAATGCTCATGTACCCTTTACAGCTCATTTTGTATGTTATTACCAAAGATGGAAAAAAAAGTCAGTCAGTCACTCAATAGTGTCTGACAGTGAAGTCTAGCAAGTTAACGGGTTTCCTTGCATAATTTGAATATTCGGACACTGCTAACGTTTAAATTTCACAGATAGGACATACATGACATATTCATTATACATGCAGAGTTCTACAAAAGGGACATAGTATCTTTAAAGAAAGGGGAAATTCGTTCAGACTTGCGTTATATTGTCATCCGAATGAAGTATTAATCGGTTTTGTTGACTGATGCATTTCCGTTTTGATGGCTACTCAAGATTCAGATACGCCTTGATGATTTCCGAGTTATTCATTTATGGAAATAGACATTCGTAATTCTTATCACAACATCTCTTCCGTTGGAAATCACATGATATCTTCATGTGCGCCCAGTCTGAAGGGGCTGATTCATTTTCTTAATCACGTACATTGATCTCCCTCACTTTTAGATATTGGTCTACATGTAGGCCTACGTATGATACGTGTTAATGTGTTAAAATTACTTTTGACTTTTTAATATTCTTTTATAAATGTTTTTATTGTTATTGTTTACTCTCTGTTTAATATCTCACAGTAATGTTTAATAGATTAAATAATACAGAGAGCCTGACAAATTAACATGACAGATATACATTATAGGCTAATGTTTGGCATTTATCGGCATATACATCATCAATATATCATAAAACAATAATGTTAGTTCCTTATAATTAATCTAATGAAGTCGTGAATCACCAATTGATAACGACTCTCGTGAATATGATATATTCGCTGTAATGGAAATTAGCATTCTTTTAAAACTTTTGTTAACAACATTGCTTTGCTTTATTTTCTTCAATTCTCGTATAGTATCATTACTCGATTGAAGATGTGACTACAAGCAACCCTAAGCTTGTAGGCTACCCTGTCTTCAGTATACCAATCAAGGGCAGAGTACCATCAAGACATACAGGTGAGATCACTAATACATTACATAACGTGCCAAAATCAATCTGATTATGATTTTGTATTATTTAACAGAATTATGATATAAATTAAATTGCGAAATTATGGAACATGCTACAAAAAATTAGACAATGCAATTTAATTGTAGGATGATATGAATGATTATTCTCTTGTTTTGTTTTCTCTCTCGATTAGAGGAGCGCTTAAACTATATTAATAATAATAGTATGGCACACAAAATTGACACATGATGTTTTGTAAAAAAAGTCACGAAGTGTTCGGAGCATGGGGGGGGGGGGGAGGGGTTGAACTGACATTGTGTATCATTATTTCGTTTTCTCTTGGATAATTAGATAAAAATGTAAATGAATAATTTATGATGTTTTGTTTTTCTCGTCCACAACATGGAGAGGCTTAATTTCTCTTTTAAAACATGTTTATGTTTATGTATATTGCAATTGACAAAATATTATTTATCTTTCTGTGATGTGTTGTAAAGTCCCCCCCCCCAAAAAAAAACAAACAAAACAAAACAAAACAAAAACAAAACAAAACAAAACAAAAAAAAACAAAACAAAAACAAAACAAAACAATAATAATAATAATAATAATGATGATAATTTTTTAAATTAAAAAAATTGTACTTTTGTTCTTACTGTACTTTATTTGACACGAACAAAATGTTGATGTGTGTGTTAATGATGCTTTATATAAGTGATCACATAATTTCATCGAAAATTGAAATTTTAAATCATTTTCTTCTCCTTTTGTCAGTATTTAGTGTGGAGTTTCCATGCACGGGAAAAGGAGTAGGCTCAGCTCTTGTCAGTTTTCGTCTTCGATTTCAGACCGAAAACTACGATGGCCAAGACATCAAAGCATCACCACTCAACTTCCAGATAGAAAAAGAATGCGAGAAATGTAAGTTTTGAGAGGTTATCATTGCAAAACATGAGTGTATGTTTCAATGTAGATTTGATAAGATTTTACCGTTTTCATTGCTTCATAATTAGACCCGACTAAAGACTATACCCTCGTAAAGGGGATGTCCACCCTAATATTAACTTGGTTTTAATGAAAGCAGAAAAATAAGAGGGAAATAGGTCATTGAAAGTTTGAGCAAAAACCGATTAATAATTTCCCCAAGGGACGGAATTGTTGTGATCACGTGACAAAGAGTTGTCATTATCAATTATCATCCATGATCGAGGCCTCATCGAACTAAAATGTTATCATTAATCAAGTATAGTTTCCTTAGAAAATGTCATGTTTTCCCAAATTTTCGCATTTCCCCCCATTTCTTGTGTCTGGAAAGATGAGGGTGTGTCTACATCCACAATCGAAGTCTGCCATCCGCCATGTTTAGAGGGGGGCGTGTGCAGTCCAGAAGGGAGATGTGATTGTAAGGAGGGGTACTACGGTCTGCGATGTTCACAACGTATGTATATATACCTTTTACCCCCCCCCCCCCCCATTCTACACTCTACCAGAAATCATCTTACTCTACCCCCTTAATAGTGCCGCTGTTCTCACCCCAATCCCATCTCTCTCTCTTTCTCTCTCTCTGATTCTCTCGCTTATTTTTCTTATTCTTTTTTCCCTTCTCTACCCACTCACTCTTTCCCCATTGTTTTCCCCTCTCTTCCACCTTGAATAGTTCTCACCCCCTCTCGCTCTTGCTCTCTGTTTCCCTAGCTTACTCTCTATCTTTTCTCTCCCCCTCTCTACCAACTCACTCTTTCCCCATCGTTTTCCCCTCTCTTCCACCCCTTTAGTACCTTTCATTAGCAAATTTAAACACTCCAACGTTATTAAATGTGCATTAATCTATTTCATGCTTGCTCCCTTCACTCATCTCCTGATGAATATGAATCTTTACTATCAACAATTTAATTTAAATACATTACACTTATTTCTTGCATCCCGTTTCGTCATGGTTTCGGTTTGACCTTATGTCAGATAAATAAATAATTGCCTCACTGATCTAGATCAATTCATATCTATTTTGATCCATCAAACATTGCAAATCATGAATGTTTAGTTCAGCGAGGACATCCTCGAGATTCAGGCGATTTATGTGATCATTTTATTTTTAAAGATTGTATTCGTCACATGTACAAGGAAGAGGATCATTATTTTAATCAGCAGGATTTAAGCAACATTATTTTGGAAAGGGGAGAAGAGAATAAATTGTGAGTGAATCATTTCGACCACCAATGTCTCATATCTATGGAAAATCATCTAATGTCAACACAATCGCAGTTGAAAATTGAATAATAAATAGATTTAGCCGTCATCATCATTTTCTCAAATTCAATTTCCTGTCTATACAGCTCTTTGTATTCCACATTGCTACAATGGTGGTACCTGCATCAAGCCGGGACTCTGCGCATGCCCAGAAGGATTCAGCGGAAAAATCTGCCATTTAGGTATCCTGCCGATTGACTTTTTTAAATTCAACTGCCCTTTCTTTTAAATAAATGTTAATTTACATTGACATCATTTGAGGCAATATAGGGTCCTGATTAAAGAAAGATAGATTGAGTGTTGTACTAGTAGCCTTAATCAAGAAAACTGAGAGTTTGAGAGTGTTCTATTTCCGTATGGAGTAAAATAAATTCCATGAGAAGCGTTTTGAATATTATTAATAAGTATATGGTTGAAAGAACAATATGGGTATCATGTATTGATCATTAAAGATAATATGTATATTCATTGTGACTCTGCTTAGTAAGTGAGATATCCTTTTAAAAACAAAACATATACTTATGTAGGCCCATTTCCCTCTTATTAATTTCAACCTTTCTCTTTATCGTTTCTAACTTTTAGCATCATGTAGGGATAACTGTTTCAACCACGGTCGTTGCATAGCACCAGGAAAATGCAAGTGTTATCGGAACTGGTTTGGTGATATTTGTCAGTACCGTAAGTAAATGCACATTTCTTTTCATTTTATCAAAACAATGACAAAATAGTAAGCCGATATCTATAATCTACCTAAAAAGTCAAGGGAAAACGGGGGTTATTGTCCCCAAAATACACTTTTATATATTTGTTGGCCCATTTAATATTTTATTGGCGCTTGCATATTTAACAAATGTATTTTTGTTTTATAATGAAGAAGCCAATATATCTGTACAGTAGGTCTCTCCTCCAACTATGGAAACTCTTCATAAAATTACAATCAGCTATCTAATCGAAAGGGTGACGAAAATGTAGTTTATGTGTAAATTAAATTTAACAGCATTATGATGAAAATAACCTACTTTGAAGAAAAAAAATCATATCCTAGACGTTGTTTTATATTTATTTTTTGTTTTTGTTTTAGGGGGGGGGGGCACATAATATGTTTTAACTGAAATGTGAAAGTGTTATTCTTTCGAATACAAAAAGTGTTGAAACTTCTTAACCTTTGCTTTGTTTGGGATTTTCATGTACAGCTGTGTCGAGAGAAAAATCCGAAGGTGCGCAACCGGACAAGGATAAAAGCATGCCGAACATAGACAAGATGAAAGAAGGCATCAACAGTAACTATTCATCGGAATGAAGTACTCTATCTGAAGCCGTCTGAAGAACTTTGTGAAGGGATATCCATATTGTGGATGGAAGGTCTGGATACATGAACTGGGAATTGTGTCAGACGATATAGGCATGGGGATGAAATATTGGCATTATCACGATTTTACTTCTTGGTCGGAACCATGAAGCCTGTGTCACTAATATGATAGGTCGATATTGGCGGTTGCGAGAGTTGCAAGGGAACTAGTACTCAAATTAATTATGTTGATACTAGGAGAGACTTGGTTTGCTTAATTAGTTGACTATAATGAGAATTTGTTTCTCCTATGCCAACTCTGGAACCACAGAAGGGAAACAGTGTCAATAAACATCCGATAAAATTTGATTGATACTTTGACATAAAAGTTTGAAACGGTCATGACTGTGAGTGACTTTCCTTTTAGAAGTAATGCATTCCTCTAACTAGGGCAACATATTTTCCTTTGCTGCAGCTACGGAATACCCAAGGATGGCTGTCAATATCTATAAGACTGAACGATTTTTTTTCGAAGCTCAAGACTGCATCATGTGATACACGTTTGCTCAGTCTAAGGAGTAAGGATCTTAACTCCTTACTCAGATGCTCGACGTTCGTCTAAATATTGAATTGAAGAGCGCCAGCTTTCGATTGTATTTTGAGCACTGTCAGCTGCAACGCCAACAAATATTTTCAAAGCATTGTTCAAATTGTTGTTAGTAATTAGATGCATAAAACCTTCAAAGTGGTTGTTTCTATTTAACTCGAATAATGCACCTTACAGTAAAATGTTGTTCAAAGTTTCCTACATTTTTGTCTATGTTATCTGATTAGAATGCAGAATGAAACATTTATCTACCATGTTAGACACTGTTTTATCATGGCTTCATTTTTTTATATACACAATCTCCATCATCATCAACATTATCATCATTGTCACCAACATTATCATCATCATCATCATTAATGTTGTCATTTTCTGATCATCGTCGTCATCAACGTCATCATCATCTTGCATCATCATCATCAAAGACACGTGATGAGCCAGATGCAGAAACGAAATGGGGTGAAAGAGAAGCGTGTATACAGTTGAAACAGAGACATGCAGAGAGATAGAGGCATATATATATACAGAGAAAGAGAGAGACAGAGAGAGACAGAGAGAGAGAGACAGAGACAGAGAGAGAGAGAGAGAGACAGAGAGAGACAGAGTCAGAGAGAGGCAGAGAGAAAGGGGCACAGTGGAAAACTGCAATTTGGGGATTAGGAAATGTCCACTTCAGACAACAAAGAAAAACGAATAACAATGTATTTTTCTTCAAAAACATGGATCTTAATGATAATTAGAGCATTCTTATTGCGTTTTCCGAAAAGGCGAGAAGACAAAGAATAACAATTATTTCAATTTCACTAATAAACCAATACTCATTTTTTTCAAAATCTCCAATTAAAACAGTGAGCAGTATTTTATATTAATTTTAATTATAATGATATTTTTCTGATACATGTAGTTTGTTTGAAACTCGCTCTTTCTTGATATCATTTTTGAAGTGAAATATCTGTATGCGAATGAACAATTTTAGTGAGAAAAAAGGGAACGCATATAATCATTAAGTAACCAAAATACAAAACGTGAACTCAAAATCAAATGATTTTTATGAAATATAAAAAAAAATTGCAAATGCACTGAAAATTAAAATAAAATGAATCAAAAGAATTTTTAAAAGTTTGGTCACACGTAGTAATAATAATGACAATAGGCACTTAATATCACTTTATTTGACTGCTGAAGTATTGAAGTAGATCTATCGTCCACCCCTTATTCCCAATCATATGCCTCCCCCCCCCCTCCCCCCCCCCAAAAAAAAAAAAATAAATAAATAAATAAATAAAGGAATAAATAGATCAATAGTTATAAAATGATAAATAAAACGCAGTTCAAATCGTTACAAACGCAGAACTGACGGTCAACCACCATCTTTACAGATACCGGGAACATTGCAAAGGGGGAGCTCAGGATTTTTTCCCACATGATACAGCAGCGGCAGTCCAATCGTTGGCGGGGCACTTCCTCAGTGGTTGAAGTATAATGCTATAGGTCCCCTAAGCGAGATCTATTTTAGTCAGCGCTGACTAAATTTGACCAATCACAAGCCTGGAAAATAGTCCGTGACCAAAGAATTGTCGGTGAACATGACATTAGTCGGTGAAAATCACCGACTATTATTGTTTCATGAAACGTCCCCCTGGTTTGTCATATTTCAAGTGTTTTTTTTATAATAATGTGTAACGGTGAGGATAATTACAAATATTTTAGCCAACTCCATTCGGGGCATAGGTCTCATGTCTCCTCCTTTTTCCTTTCCCACCACCTTCTCTCTCTCCCCCACCCCTCCCCCTCTCTCTCTCTACTTCTCTCTCTCTCTCTCTCTCTCTCTCTCTCTCTCTCTCTCTCTCCCTATTTCCAATCTCTTCTCTCGACTACGACAGAAACCCTTATGAATGTTATATTGTCCCTTTGGCGCTACATTATAATATAGGCCTACGTCCCTGACAGTATCTTTAACAACTTTAGTTTCATACCATCATGTCACCTGATGTTTGAAAAATCTTATTTTAAGTTTTGAGTGGGGAGGTGCGGGGATCACTTCACCGGGATCAAAATTTATCACTGCTCATGGCTTCATCGACTTCAACAAAAAGACATTTCAATGAAAATAAAGAAGAGGACCGAGTCTATGATGGTGAGGTCTATGCGTAATTGGCGGCAGGAGCGGCGGCATCGACGCTGTCACGTGACACCTGATAGTATGACGTCACACAAACTACGCACAGGATCTAAACAGAAAAATAAAATGTAAATACAAACGTATTTTTACTCTGAGTCTGTATCTTAATCCGACATGCTAAATATTCCGTCCCTAATTAGCGTATATTACAAACATCAACGATTCGACGGGGAAATGGCTGATTGATTTATCAAATTGCAACTTCATATCATTACTTCTATTAATTTCAGATGAAAACATGTTAAAGACTTTTCTCTACTACAACGTTGACAAACATGGTAAATGTGAGACATAACCAGGATCTGTAAAAAACATATATATATATATCATTAATACCTGCGTATTAATCTAATATTTATGATAATAAAAATGGCAAAAGATAAGTGATCAATATAATTATTAACCGATGGACTTACATTAATGACCAAACACAAGATGTTGTACAGGATGAAAAAGAAGTCCATTCCATCGAAACCATTCATCGCCTGTAATCAAACAACAAAGGAAGAGAGAGAGAGAGAGAGAGAGAGAGAGAGAGAGAGAGAGAGAGAGAGGGGGGGGGATTACTACAATAGTTGGAGCTTTTATAGAGATATCTTTTTTGACCCCTTTGACAAACGTCATTATTCTCCACTAATTATTATTATTCAGCATTAATATACATGTAGTTCTTGAAACATTTTAACACGATCAGTTCTCACAGAAAATGAGATTTAAGAACTTCATCTTGTTATTTTCATCTTTGGAATCCTAATCACTTTTATAAACATTTAGTATCTTTCTTTTAGAAAAGGAAACTTTGATTGCGGGTCAAGTCTTTGCACATAAGAGACTGTTCCCTCACCATTTCAAACCAACTCAAATACTTCAAGTAACTATCAGGGGGGGGGGGAGTGCACACCTGCCAATCTGGCATATCTTAAGTATACATTATAAGAGTTTAAAGAAATTCTGCACCAGTACAGGTGTCCTCCCCCCCCCCCCCCCCTCCTTCCCCTCACCAACAAAATATCAAATACGATATAAAAACATTGGCTTCGATTGTGGTAGTTTGATCATACTTCCTGCGATAACTTACCAGATTAACAATGATGATGATGAGACTGATGGTTTGTATGATGACGAAGATAAACATCACTATGATGAAAGGGATGAAGAATTTAGGTGCTTCCTGCATTAAAAAAAGAGCAATTTTGAAAACGATAAATTGTGTATAATCAAGGTTCAATTCAATACAATTCAATTTCATTTATCTCCATTGTACATGTTTTAAAACATAGTGTACACATAATTATAGTACATGGACAAAATATCAACAGCAATAAACTCACAATATAGTATAAAATGGTGGAATATCCTCAAAAGCAACTAACAATCATTCGATGAAGTGAACCTGGAAATCAAAAATTTGAATTGGTGTTGATGATTCTTACCCGAAAAATAGCGCAGAGTAGGAGGATTGAGACGATAAGGATAGTGATGAAGAAAATGATTTCGAGGGCGTTGATGACGAAGACACTTGTTTCGCCAGAACCTGAATGACAGATAAAAAGTGAAAATAATACGTTCTAAAATGTTGTTTTACAATAATATGAATATGACAGATACAATTCGTTATTCTAATGTGATACCCTCCTGGTAAACGGAAGTAGTTTTTATAGAAGGCCTGGTGGTAGAGTCGCTTCCCGGCTAGCAGAAGATGGCAGGTTCAAATCCCGCTGGTTCCAATGTTTTGTTTCTGACCTGTTTTCAACTACAAGATCAAGCATGCGATCTTTATCTATACTGGGTGCAAGCCAAACATTTCTCTACAACAATCATTATTGTAAGTCAAAAAATATTTTTTAAAGCAGATTTTTATTGAATACACGATCCGATGAAGGGATGCAACTTTGAAACATAATATTCGAATTTGACATTTTCTAAAAATCTATAGGGATGTGAAATATTGATATCGATGTCCAACCGTTGTTTATAGTACAATTTACAAAAGAAACGAATTAGCCACTCACTAAGGGTTCCATGCTTGAAGACGTAGTACGCCGCAAGTGCCACCGAAATTCCAGAAAAGATCTGTACCAGAGAAAAGAAGAAAGCGATAGATTAGCACTGTATAATAGATCGACATGAAGGGTAACAAAATAGATTCTTGGTAAAGATATATCCGAAAATAACGTCGTTTTTCTGATTCAAATCATCTAACCCACTCGTAATTGGTAGAAAGAAACTTTTGGTTTATTTCCTATTTTTCTGTCCGCTTTTTTCTTTCCAACTCCATCCACATCTTCACCTTGCATTATTCTTAATTCATCTTCCCATTTTCTTTTCTAAGACGATTATATTTCCTGTTTCTGGTATTAAACACCATAATTATATCGAGAATTTCATTATCGTCGTCGTCGTTGTTGTTGTTATCATTAACATCATTATTATTGTTATTATTATTGTTATTATTATTATCATCAATTATCTTCTAATTATATCACTATTCTTGTTAATTCTCTGTGTTTCTCTATATGCCACACCCTCCCCTCCCCTCCCCTCTAAATCGTTCCTATGAACCATGTATTTCCAATCTTTTATTTAGTCCCCATCCTCCTATCCGTCTACCATCCATCTATACTGAGGCGATCATCGTTAACACAGCGGGTTGAACATACATGAGTTTGGTATTCCATCAATTCACTCTTCGTAATAGGCCTCCTCCCTTCTCACAAAACTTGTTAACAGGCGCACGTAATTTAGGGGGGTACATTGAGCATTTTTCCGTATTTACGGGGGTCTCCAAGGCAGGAAAAGCCCGCGAAAGGGGTTCGGAAATGTTGGCAGTCCTCAGATAGGAGGTGCTTTCAAAAAGAGGGAACGAGCATACGCGTACCCTAAATAACACTGAGTGGGGGGGGGGGGGAGGGGGGAGGGGGGGGGGGAGGTACTTGCCCAATACGGCATACAGGGATGTGCCGCTCTAATGGATTACTGTTTTGCAAAAAAAATCCCTGAAAGTGCCTCCACTTTTCAGATCTTGGCCGTAAACACGGGTAACTATTTTCTTCAGGATTATATCATTAAATTTTGCTAAAGTAAAAACTCCAGATGCAAAATCCCGCAAAAATAGTTGAAATCATTTAAACATGGGTTGCGTTTTGAATGGAAGTCCCTTAGGCCTACCAAAAATATGTTGTATTGCCCTTTGCGACCGAACCCAAACATCTTAAATTCTACGATCGGCTTAAAAAAAAAAATTAAAACCATGTTTTAGAGGAAAAAAATATTAAAGTATTCAAAACTGAGAAATATCATTCCAAAGAGGGAGGAAAAAAAAAAAAAAAAAAAAAGATTTCCGATCGACCGACCCTTGTTTTGGCAATACAGAATCTTTTTGGGAATGGGTACCATTTTCTGCCAAAATGACCCATGAACTTGAGGCTTCATCCCCACACCAACGTCCAAACCAAATTTGAGTACCTGGGGGGGGGGCAGGAGCATCACTAAATATTCAAATACACTACTGCATGAATGTAATGTTTAGGATACAAAATACTAAATCACTACGCAGATAAAAAGTTAGATATTCTACAGATAATACGTTTACTATCTATAGTTTTGGATAGTGTTGTGACTGTTGTTATTGTAGTTATCCGGGAGATAGTATACACCCATTCTAGCCTCATGCAAGAGAAAGGGCATGTCACATTGGATCAAGTTAACACACTCCCACGTAAGCAGATGCGTAATCAGATGATATGCAAGCTGTCGATATTGGTCTACATGAAACAGTAAACATCTCTCAATTCATGTACTGATTGTGACGACAGACTTTGTTATCTGTGTAGGCGTATACCGATGAATATTTTACTAATTTAGTATTTTGCTCATGTGTACGGTGTATGTCACAAATGTTTATTATGTTCATGTTTACACTTCTGACATGTATGAGAGACAATTCATACATACCCCTCCTACCCTCCCTCTTTTTTTTTCTTTTTTTTTTTTTTGCTCTCTCTCTCTCTCTCTCTCTTTCTTTAATATTTCTTTCACCCTTTCACTGTTCAGTCATATTCTAACTCCAAATCTGCATTTACTTTCAGTCTATAATTGTATCATATAGGCCAAACCCTCACCTCTCTATTTATGAATGAAATTGAAATGGTATATCAAATCACATTCTACCTGAAATATCATTCTTAATTCCCCTTATCGCGTTGTGCTCTCATCGTTTGCTTCCAATTAAAGCATGTATAACGATCAACACAAAATTCAAATTTCCCCTTTCTTGCAATTATTGTACACGCATCTTTTTTTCCATTACTCATGTTTGTTTGTTTTAACTGACTGCTAAGAAAGCATGTGTATGCTTGTATTGGTAAGCAATCAGGGGACCGATGGTTTTAACTCCTCTCCGAGAGACTTGGAAAGGAGGATCAATGCATTACCAAAGAGCACTATAGCGCAACGATTATTGGTTTCGAACCCGAGACCTCCCAGTTTCGTTCCCCAAATTATAACAAGCATTGCTTTTTTTCAGAATAAAACTGAATATTATTTTCTCAACATATTATTATACAGAATGAAAGCCTTATGAGTTTTCTTTTATTAAAATATGTTTTCCATGTTTCTCTCGATGCTTCCCTCTATACCCAGGGGGTACTTCTCAACTCGACGTGACGCAGTGGGATGAAGGATGAGGCCGAATTCTCGGGATAGCTTGTCGCTCCAGCTATCATCCATATACCCAAGCTACCTATATAGCTCGTGCACAGAGATATACTTAATGTCCATGAGAAAATTTACCAGTGCTAGAAACGAAGAGGAATGGAATCTGGTAGGCTTCACCTCCCGCGATGAAACATGCATATTATTCTCTTCATCCTACTCCTCGAATACCTCCAACCATCTCTCTCTCTCTCTCTCTCTCTCTTTCTCTCTCTCTCTCTCTCTTTCTCTCACTCCCTCTCTCTCTCCCCTACAACTTTCTACATTCTCTTAAGCAAGTATTGTTTTTCATTAATATCAATTCCGTTTTTCTTTCACATCAGTGCCTTAATACTTTGTTTATGTTAACCATTCCCTTTAAAAGAAAAACACAGGGGGAAGGGGTAGACGCATTTACATAGGCTCTGCTATTATAAAGCTAAGATAATTCTGCATCATTGTTGTGTCATGTGCAATTCACATTAGGCATGTGCTGCCAACATACTTAGTTCGATATTTACAATGAGTGGGCTACCATCTTACCAAAATGTATAATTGTCCAGAGCCGAATATAGTAATGTCAGATACGGGGCGGGGGTGTTTGGAAACTGTTAAAACTCATGTTCGTGAAGCTCGCTTTTTAGAGAAAAAAAGTATTATTATTATTATAATAGGGGGCGGCTGATTTGTTGCCTATATCGATTTTATAGGTCTATTGATAACGAAAATATGTGTGACATACTTAAGGGATATCAATAAAACTAAAAAAAATAGAGACTATTGTTCTGGATTTTTTTTAAAAATAGTGTCACATGAAGTCAACGTATCGTATACCATGAAATGTATGCTCTATTACCTTTAAAAGGACAGAAAATTGCCATATCAACCAGCAGTGTGAAAGTGAAAATACAAATAAGGATCACCCTTATTGCATTATAAAAAATATTACAGAAATAAGGAAATTGTTCTTACCATACAATAAATTGCACTCATAATGGATCCACTCCTTAATCCACAACAAAAACATTTATTCATTAACGCCATCTTGCTTCACTGATGATAATATACACCGACCTAGATCAAAAGTATTAAAATGAGGGACGCAGAGATGGAAAGCGGCCGCAATCCACCATTTAACGATGTAGAGAAGAGAAGAAGATAGTCCAAGACCTTGGCATTCGATTGTTGTCAAAGATGAGCTACGGTAGAAGGTTCATCCAAAGAGTTTGCATCTTTCAAAGCCAAATGCCATTACCATCCTCCTCATCATCACGTACAATACATGTTTATCATATCGTGTGTGAGAGAGCATCTGCTAAACTGCATCACCAGCTAGCCCAACCACACCCTACCAGGGGCCGGGGTGGATGCTGGATGCCATCGACTGGACGCCTTAGCAACCAATCAAACAACTTTAGACCAACAGATGGAACACGATCGCAAACACTTTCGAGAAATTACCTCAAGGGCAATTTCAAAACCCTATTGTATATTCCAGGGAAACTATCATTTCATGTCATTGTAATGTTCGCACATTCCAATAGGGGACATACATTTCACCCATTTCAATAGGGGACATAATTATAAGACTATCGATACGGCCTTGGATCGCGTTTATATTTTAGAGAGCCTTCGTATGTTTGTTTGTTTAAACTTACGAACGCCAATTAAATATTTTGTTTTTCTTCTGATTTATATCATAAAAATCTAGTAAATTCTCGCTTTTGTGGTATTCATTCAGGTTTTGATCACCATGCATGGGAAAATCTGCGTTTCAGTTGCTACTGGTTGGAAAACAGTATACTGATCGGTGATGGTGCAGGTACGCGAACATGGCGAATGGAGGGAAGTAGTTAAGGCCGTGACGATGGGCGATGCATTTCAAGAATGTCTGACGTGAAATTCTATCTGAACAGCTGACCTGGGCAATGACGGTTGTGATTGGGGATGAGTCAACTGGTTACTGGTAGGGAGGGAGGATTGAATAGAGAGTAAGAGGGTGGGAGAGAGAGAGAGAGAGAGGGAGAGAAACAGAGAGAGAGAGAGAAACAGAGAGAGAGAGAGAGAGATAAAGAAACAGAGAGAGAGGGGGAGACACAGGGAGAAAGAGAGAGCGAGCGAGGGAGAGATAAAGAGAGAGAGAGAGAGAGATAGATAAAGAGACAGAGAGAGGGGAGACACAGAGGGCGAAAGAGAGAGCGAGTGAGGGAGAGATAAAAGAGAGAGAGAGAGAGAGAAGGGGCGGGGCAAGGGAGACATGAATAAAAGAGAGGGAGAGAGAGAGAGAGAGAGAAATTAAGACTTAAGACAGATAGAAAGTACAGAAGGTTTTTGTATCACATGTACACATTATTATCGGTCATAAATTAAATATCAAACAATGCAGATAAAAACAAAATTGGAGACAATCAATTCATTAGATTATTGCATGTTGCAAGTACTTTAATACTGGAATTAAAATGATCTGAATTATTTCATGATCAAAGAAATGATGAGTTAGCGATTGATAATTATATTTGATTGAGTGCATCAATAAATGAATGATATTTTTTTGTGCATTTCTTGAAATTCCATTTCAATTTACAGAGCTCATCAGTTTATAATGACTAAATTGCACTCAAGTTATTTTTATTATTTATTTGACGTATTTATACAAGATAAAAAAGAAAGAATCGAATCAGCAAAGCTGTTTTTCATCGATGTCCTGTTGACATGATTAAACATTTCCAATTCTAACCAAATATACATAAGGCTTTTAATGCAAGAAAAAAAATATTTGGACAAATTTGTTTGAAAGAAGTTAAAGAATGTCCAATCATATTTGTTTGAAAGTTAGGAATATTTTTCTAACCAACATATTGTAAAATTGAAAAAATAAGGAAAGAGAAATTCTAACAATGTACCATAACAGAAAACAAGCTACAAAAATCCTTTTACAACTTGTAAAACGTGATTCCCTATTTCAAAATATACCAAATGATAATTATTATTATCATAATTATTATACAATTGTAGGTATCAAATATTTGACAAGGTTATAGTTTACGCTAAGAAAATTTCATCAAAAAATAGGATAGCAAACCTATACTATTAAGCCATTTCTAATGTTCCAGAAGTATACAAAATCCCTGGTTTCAGTTATAAAATATTAAAACAAAGGAAATTATGAAAGACTTTAATATTTTTAATACAAGTTGTGGTGTCTTTCTAGTGCTAGCAATGCTTTCTTTCTTAAAGCCCCACTGCACTATTTATAGCTACTTGGGCCCTCGTTAGAGCAACCAATACCTCATCAGTGACCATTGGTCCCCCATGATCATCTTTTTCTTATTTTAATTGTGACCATGATTTGTACGTCCGTTGAGAGACTATTTATAAATGGCGAGAGCAAACAGTGGCATGAACAGCCTGCCATAGTTAAGTCCAACTTAAAGTCGACCTTAGTCTTTGTGAAACACCCACTTGAATGTGTCTTTGTTGGGCCTGATTTTATGGATTTCTGTTTGTTTCTTCCATGATTCCATCAATGTATTGTTAACCTTAATCATAATAAGCCTAAGATAACTCGAGATAGAATCCATTGGAACTATTTGTTAAATGAAAATGAAATCACTTCTAATGAGATAAAACAATATGATAGATTAAAAGAGATGATTCATGTTCATTTCAAAGACTTCTCCACACAACCTTGATGGTCTTAATAGTCTTTGCCTCATGAGTTGAGTGGTGTAACATGCAGCAATAAAGTTAAATTTCTGAGGTTGCACAAGATATCATAAAATTAATTTCAAAGAGTTAACTATATATATCGAGGGGTCAGTGACATAAAGACGTTACTCCATTTTGGCAATTTTGAGAAAAAAACGTGTCACTGAGCACTTGGCCTTAAAGAGTTAAGTCTATGTTTCACTAGCCATTGACTTCAACGGGGTGTTGGTTGGAGTTAAGTCTTTGTTTTTCCTGGAAAGCCCACATTTTTATATCAAATACTCATTTTGGCAAAATATGAAGTTACAACTTTGTGTCACTGAACCCTCAATATTGTCTATTCAAAGCCAGAAGGGCATTAAGTCTGTATTAAAGGATATGAGTTAATGCCCTTTTGGCTCCAAACAGACGATACATTAGTGCATTTTGTGTATCACTATATTATAATGCAAACCATATGTTTACTGGCCATAACAACACTTCTCCCATACAATGTCAAAAACATTTTTTTTTTTTTTTTTAATGTCCGTCTGATGTTTAAAAAATAAATAAATCTAAAAGAATTTTTAAAACAACCTTGTTACCATATAAGCAATAGACCCATCTACCTATATAATTAATTTCCCATTATACCCTGAGACTTAAATAAAACTAAAAGAAACTTTAAATGACCTTGTTACCATATAAGCAATATATTTAACTATATAATTTACTACCAATTACACCCTGAGATTCAATTTTATGCTGATTTGGCTTTTCTCAATAAGTTTATTCAAACTTCAGTTGTTTTTTGTTTATTTAAAGAGCAAATTTTGTTATACATATGTACAAACAATGTAGTGCAAACCCGCTTGCCCAACCTTCTTACTGTCACACAATAAAGTATTACAATGTGTAACCAGTTAATAATTTCAAAGTCATTTCTAAAGAAAAAAACTAAAATATATTCTTTGATCATTCCTTTGTTCTTAACAATACAAACTTGAAGAAGCGCCACATAAACCAAGTCTACCACTTGCATAATGCCCTCATCCAATAATATATTTGTAGCATTTTGTATACCTAGTCACATGATCACTATACAGCTTGGCACTCTTACATTGTACGTAGGTAGTTCTCCTGACATTGATAGCGATACAAAAGTGCAAAGATTACAAGCCTTCAAAGAATTGCAAAAAATTATAAACATAATAAAATATGAGCACAATTGATAACTAATCAACTTATATACATATTCTACAGATCAAAAGGCACTTTAACATATAATGTATTCACACAACTATTCTCTTTCACAAAATGATGATTGTCTGTAAAGGTTTTAAGTACAGTGTTGCAAGATCAGATAAGAATTTAGGAATCAAACTTCATGATAATGAATCATTATTTGAATTATGGATTTGAAATAAAACAGTGTAATTTATCACAAAATATTGATTAATACGTATCTTTCATACGGTACATGCTTGATGTAATATGATCTTTCAGGAAAAAACAATTAATTTAATGCCTCCTATATTTTATCTACTCTGTTCTCTACATAATCCCATGTTATGCTACATGGAATCAAATGAAGATTGATAAACAGGGAATTTACTAAATCTCCTTTTCACATACTTTTAATATAAGCAGTTGCTGCAAAATCAAACTGCATTTATAAATAGATGTACACACATACACATTCATAAAGAAAATTGCTACAAGAGTCATCTTGATTTATGCAAGAGGAGCAAAAATGTAATTTATTTCTACATATTCTTTTTTTTTGGTGAGAAGAAGTTATATTGCATTGCTAATTTCATCCTTTGGATGATAGGTATATCAGCACATTGATTATCTTATTTTCTATAGCAAAGTTTAAAGCACCTACTTGTTTTTTTCTTTCTTCAGACTGCATGTAAAATGGAACAGATAAATAACTAGATGGAATTTTGACTGCGTGCAGTCGAAAATGATGCCTCCGCCATAGAGCAATTTAAACAAGTTTGGAGTTTAAATCTCCAGTGGTTCTTGAGATATCATGATAACAATCTCAATGTATATAATTTCATAAGTTGACCTCTGTGACCCTTGACCTTTGACCTACGTGCTCCAAAATCTAATCAGATTGTCTTCCTATGGTGATACACACTATCATTAAGTTTGAAGTTTAAATCTCCAGTGGTTCTTGAGATATTATGATATGGTGATACATACTATCATTAAGTTTGAAGTGAAAATTCTCCAGTGGTTCTTGAGATATCGCGATAACGATCTCAATGTATGGAATTTCATAAGTTGACCTCTGTGACCCTTGACCTTTGACCTACGTGCTCCAAAATCTAATCAGATTGTCTTCCTATGGTGATACACACTATCATTAAGTTTGAAGTTTAAATCTCCAGTGGTTCTTGAAATATTATGATAACAATCTCAATGTATGGAATTTCATAAGTTGACCTCTGTGACCCTTGACCTTTGACCTACGTGCTCCAAAATCTAATCAGATCGTCTTCCTATGGTGATACATACTATCCTTAAGTTTGAAGTTTTTACATCTCCAGTGGTTCTTGAGATATCATGATAACAATCTCAATGTATG